GAAAGAAAGAAAGAAAGAAAGAAAGAAAGAAAGAAAGAAAGAAAGAAAGAAAGAAAACTGGGTGGGTGGGTGGGTGGGACTGAACCTAGAAGGACATTTCTTCCAACAACACCTTCTCAGAACACAACCCTCTTCATTACATCGTCACCCGGCAAGATTCAATGTCATTAGTATTCATGTGTGTGTTTGTGTGTATTTCTGTGCAGCCGCAATAAAGTGCAAAATATGAGAAATGAAAATTTCATGTAAAACCACAAAAAGCTCAGTGCCTTTAATCTCAAATGGATAATCACCCAATTGTTGAAATTGGCTTACTCTGGAAACCAGTCTTCAGATTTGTTTCTTGGGATCTGCAAAATGTTAGTCCATGCAATTCTAATTTTTGTTAAAGTAGATTTTACTCACCTGAATACAATCTTGACCACAGTGATATTTTACAGATATTTTGAACATTTCTGCCCTAGGTGATCTTTAAAATATATTGCAATTTCTGAGAAAAAAAATCTGAATAACATATATTTAGAGACAGGCTCAGAGAAAAACAACTGGGTAATATTCTTTGCATTCATGCACATGCCCTAAAACACATGGGAAACCCCCTGTAATACCTGTGCTGAGCCGTCAAGTGACTGGTTACTTCTTGATTTCAGTTAGAAAGATCTCATTGAAAGATCTGCATTGATCTATTAGAGCAGGGGTAGAGCAGGAGTGCAAAAATTCACGTCGTCATGGTGTCATGATGTATCATGACTTTTTTCCCCTTTGCTAAACTGGGCGTGGCCAGCATGTGATGCATCCCGCCCGTGGGCCACAAGTTTGACAGCCCTGTACTTGAAAGTTTGTTTGCTGGTGCTGGACTATATTAACTATATTGCAATGCTAGAGTTTAAAGAAAAGGCCTGTGACTAGGTTCATACGCCATGCTGAACTCTTTTATACCATAGTTTGTTTGGTTTTCACTTACCATAATATATGATCCTAATCATTAGTTTGGTGCTGAATGGCTAATTTTCAGTAGAGGATTTAAAATAAAACTAAAATGTTAAATATATCTGTTTTGAGCTTTTGTTTGAAACAACTGTAAAACTGTTAACTATGGCAGAATGCAGCTTTGTTTTTAAGGGGATCCTTCTTGGCAGCACCACTTTTACTATGGATTTATTGATTAG